GGAGCCCGATGTGGGACTCGATCCCGGGACTCCAGGATCATGACCTGAGCCGAAGGCAGTCGCTTAACCAACTGAGCCACCCAGGCGCCCATATTGAATTAATTTTTATGTATGGTGTGGGGTAAGCGTCTAATTATTAGAAAAAAAAATTTTTTTTTCTACAGTAGAAACCTAGTAGTTGGTCAATGAAGAGAAAAAAAATTAGCCAAAGAGGGGACTTTAAAAAAATCACCCATTCTTTTGATATTTCCTTTTAATGTAAACTATAAATGTACATTCATTTACCATTCTTTTGAGGTCGCGCCAAGGACTTGTCTTGGAGTGTTGGGTTTACAGATGGGCCTGCCATGGAGCCTTTCTTGCATAAACAACACCCATAATGAATTTTTTCCAGTTTGGGTTTTTTCCAGTGGAATAGTCAGTTAAAAATCATTTGGAAAGCACCCCGAGTAAAGAATTCTAGCTTTATACTTTCTTTTTCCTCTAATCTTTTACGCCAGTCTCCACAACACCTAATTCAATAGTACTTTATTTTCATCAACTTGCCTTTTATTGAGTGTTCCCGAAACATCTGTCTTAGTTTTGTTAGAAGCAGCCCTTTTTTACAATTCATATTTCTCTGGTTTACATGTTTAATTGATTTAAAAATAAGCGCTAGCATGAACAGTTTCAGGGACAATTCCTGATGGATGCACAGAGCAGAACCCTTGAGGGACCTCAGGTGACAGTCCATGCCTTTGTAGAGGGCATGGAGAGTGTTGGTAAACCTAGAGGTTTGTGAAGAGAGTGTCTCTTTCACAGAGAGGACTAAGTGGCAGCTTTTTATATTTGTGAAACATAGGATTTTTAACTTTGCCAAACCCTCCCAACTAGTTACAGGCGATAGCATGGGGCCCTGGCAGCTGGAGCCTCCGGGAGCCTGAGAACCACTATCAGCCACTCTTAGGACCAGATCTGATATGTAGCCAGACAGGAAATTTTTGTTAAGTGAAAGAATGCCCAAAGTCTCCATGTACCCTTGTTTAAAAGAAAAAGAAAAAACCTAGTCATGCTAATGCTGGAGGTCCTTCCTCATTTGTAAAACGAAGGCAGAGTGTTGGCTGCAGCTGTCTAGGATGCATCCGTGGTGATGGATGCGTTGGCTTCGCTTCCATGAGGGCGCTGAGACACTTGGGTGATCTCAGGTCCTAAACTAGGAGGTAGCGGGGCCAAGAAGGGAGCGCAGCTGTTCTGGCTCCTGGCCCTTTGGCCTCGCCACCAGAACATACTGGAATAGGACAGAACTCCTCATCTCCTACCCAGTCTGCTCCTTCTCCTGTCTTACCTGAACTCCTGTTCAGTCAGAAACCAAAGAGTCAACCCTGACTTCTCCTCCTCCCCCTCTTTCCACAGCCCTGTCCCTTCAACCTCCAGAGCTCACCTTGGTTTTGTCCACTGCCCCCTTCCCAGCTCCCACCACTGTGACCCCAGCCACCCGCATCTCTCACCTGGACAATTCCAGCAGCCTTCTGCACCCACTCTTGCCCTGCCTGCCCATTCCCTGTACAGCATTCAGAGCCTTCTCTCTGAGACAAAAATTGGGCCGTCATCCCTTGAGGTGGCTTTTCTTGGCCCCTCTCT